GTCATTCTGTCCAAAATTGAATCCTACACTTGATGGCATCTGCATAAACAGTTTATAGGCCAAGGATCGCTTGGGAAAACATGGTTTTACAAAATGTCTCCAAAAATACCACTAGTTATTAAGGCGAAGCGCTTTTCTCCTCAATAATAGCATCAGAAACCTTCAAAAGGTCATGAAAGCAGAGAGTACGAAATCCTCTCGCCATATATGCTAAATACTTAGCTTTTAGTATCGATCTTGATGAGCAACAGCATAGACAAATCAAAAAATGGTCGCAAAAAATCAGAAGCCACAGGCCAACAATTGTATAGGTGTTTACCTTTTAAGTTTCACGATGGCCAGTAAAAGTTACTTGAAAAATAAACTTGACAGTTCTGTAGGCGAAAAATTTCTATCTGATCGATGTTTAAAAGTTGGGGATGTAATAAAGATAACTGAAGTAAAACTGCTGTTCGATTCTTCCAGTACTAAAAACATTAATAGTCAAATAGCTACAAATCTAGCAACATTGTTTTTGAAATAGGGGTCCTGCTGCAAGACGTCGACGAAGAGCAAACAGAGAAGAGAGAAGGCAACTTAATGATCTTCTAGAAGGTGCAGAGAAGATGTTTGGAAAATCACCAGATATGAATAAATATATTCGAAGACAGAAGATGAGCAACAACAATGAAGGCTACAATGCACTCAACAACACTGATAACAGAATTAGTTTCTTTTCGGTTGGAGAAGGTGAGGAAACGATACCTATGTCATCAACTGCTTTCAAAAAAAAAGATGGTATAAAAGTGACCAGAGTGCATCGTGATGAGAAACCACCAGTCAGTGGAAATACCTTCATCGAACCGTCAACTTCTCAAAGTGATGATAATAGTGTACCGAGTATTCGTTATTCTACAGTAACAGTTCATCGAGTGACTAGAATACCCAAGCTAGACGGTGCCAATGAAAGCCAGAGCATCGAATCACCAATAACCGATCAATCACTACTTAACGTTAATCGAGTCAGTGTCATCAGACTACCACGAAATAAAATGTCACGAGTTCATAGTGTCGATGCGAACTTGCAAGAACTTAATAAACAGCAGCATAGCAATATAATCAATCCAAATACAAGAAATGACGTTATTCGAGTTGCGAAGGTGGGTGACGAACTACTGAAGAGAGATCCACCGGGAAAGCAAAGACCGCGTGCAGTGAGTATTGGAAATATCAGCGTAATAAAAGTGAAAAGACCAGCCGCTCAAGTGGGGCCAATAAAAAACAGTCGTCAAACAAACCCATCGCCAGCAATGGATAAGTCCAAGGCAAACAGCCGAGTTAGTGTCACCAGAATTCTACGATAGCAATCAAAAACACGAATTCAATCTTTTTGATTATCGGTGCACAATCATCATTCAATTAGTTTATAGAATGACTCACAGAAGCTATTCTTGAATAGAGACATTGCTGTGTTTTCAGTCTGTAATATTGATCCTAATGAATAAAGCTTTCTGACTAACTAATTCAGTAATCTTTCAGGCGATAGAGTTAATTGATTTCTAGACAAGCACTGTATGAATTGTCTTGTTTTTCGACGAGGTGAATGGAAACAAGTCGGACATTAATAAGGTTAAATAACTGGAAACCTGACTTGCTTGAGTTTCAATTATTATCTGTGTCATTTCTCTTCAATGAAAGCTTAAATCTGTTGATTGCCCTCTGATACTCTAGTTGATTACCCATGGATCTATTTCTTTTGAGTTGATTGAGTAACTCGTACGCTTTATATTAGACACTCGCTCGATCATATCAAATGAAGACACAAGACTCCTCTCACTTAATATTATTTGTTTTAAGTTCATTTGGAAATGATCAAATACGAGAGTGTGGGTGTAGATAAAGAGGAAACCTACATCCACAATAACATCAACACATCGCACTCACACTTGAGAACGATCAGATTTCCTGTATGAAAGCAAATATACTAGAGTTAATGGAGCCAACGACCATATCGATAATTCCCTTAAATCTATAAAAGTAGGTAGGTGTGTATATGTTTGTCTGTCCTTCTTCTTTCCTCACATAAACATGCCCAATCGCACTAAAAACTGGTTGGCTTTAGAGAACTTACTTTTTACAATGCTTTATTATTATTCTGATGTCTCGTTCAGCAAATATTTTTACTTCTGTAGACAAATATGGTCAAGCGGAACTCTATAATGAATGTATGTACTATTGTGTTGTCTTCACGACATATTGGTTTTAACAAAATTTGTTGAGTGTGGGTGTGAATGTGAAAGAAGAGAAGATATTGATCTACACCTGCACACTCCACACCTACACCCACATCCGGCACCCACACCCTCGCTTTACACACTAAGAATGTATTTTATACAGTCAAAAGATAAAACAGCAATTTTAATAAATCCCATAAATATAATTGTGATAGTCCTTCGATTGTTAATGAAAGTTTCAATAAGAATCTATGTTGTACCTATCAACAAGCTTCGGAAGAAACATAAATCTGTCTACCAGATTTGACAGACGCACTGAAAAGTGAAAATAGATTGGTAGATATGTAAACTGATCGAGTGAACGGCCACTGCAGCAAAAAGACAGATGCTTACATTTTTTTTGTTGTTGTGGTTCAAATCTGATTTCTCATTTATATGTTCTTTAGCTTCCTTTTCTATTAAAAAATGTTCTGCTGTTGTTGCTAATTTGTATGTCGGTTTACACCTATACAGATTTACACATATCCTCATCGAGAACAAAGCAAATCAAAGAATTAATTTACCTCACTAGTTGGTAAAAAGGCTTGTTGAGAGAAAAAACCTGTGATAGATTCTATCTATTGTTTCTCCTATTGATAAATTAATTCCAATTTAATGATGAGGTAAAAGAATGTTCTTAATTACAGAATTAATAAAATAAAATGTCTAAACATATTATTATCTGAATGAGTACCTGCATAAAATGTTTAATCATTTGGAAAACTCAAATAGATAAGCAATGTACTAAGTTACCCTCGATATGTTGGTTCACTGAGTCGATAAAGCTATTTTACAAGGTATGGGTGTTGACTTAAATCTGTTCTTCATTCTCACACTTATATACATGCACATCTGCACATCCACACCCTTTCTCTAGCAATATCCTGATGTCATTTCAAGTACTCTGTATTGTCTTACTGCTTATTAAACTGTAGCATGCGTCCAGAAAATACGTGATTCATACTGGATTGATGCAAATGCGAAAGATGATTACTGCTATCCAGATTCTAATGTTCGGCGTTCGACATCGATTCAAATCTAACAGTGACAACTAGTATCAAGTACACATTGCGTCTCGATTCATCTATTCATTTTGCTGCCATTCGACCGATAACAAACAAGACCTTTTTGCATGCAATGCAGAAATGAAATCGAAAGAACTGAAAGACTCAAATGTGTACATTCAACATAATGAAGAATAGATGATCAAGAATTTTACATTTCGGTTTCTTTATTTCTGCAACGCGAACAGTCATTGCGTTGAAAGCACATTGAGTGCCTTGTCGTTGGTAACTTTCATTTTCGCCGATTCCAATATCCCCGAATGAATTCATAACTGAAAAAGAGTCTGGATGGGTGTAGATGCCGGTGTGGGTGTAGTGTGGACATGGGTGTAGGTTAGTGTGCTTGCATGTGAATGGGTGTGGGTGGATGTGTGGATGGAGAGAAGAATCAAATCTATAGCTATATCCAGACTGATACCCTCCGTCAAGTATCGAAGCAAGAACTTCATATCCAGAACCAGCCACTCAACAAAGTCGGAATTTTTCGAACATCTATATAAAATAAACATGAATTTCGGTTTCTACCTACCATACAAATTGAAAGCAATTTTACTATCAATTAGGATAATACAGGACAGAATTTCAACGAGAATGGGTCCTTTTGCAATTGATATTACTATGACAACAAGAACAAAGCGCTCGAGTATCATGAAGAAATGAACGACCGAGACAGGATATAGACATGGCTTTCATAGTGATTGCTATTCGACACAATAACAAAAGCTAAAAGTCATTCGAATAACTTTGCATAATCTATAGACACGGCCCTCTGGTATCATTAATGATTGAGAACGCAAAGTAGTAAAGACACATTTACATATCAGACATTTGAAGAGAGAATGCGATCACAATTGAGAGTAGAAATCGAATTGATTGAAGCCAACTGCGTGACAGAGGAAGAACTAGAAGGCTACTGAACTATGAATAAAATATTGGATTGTTCAATTGAGCTAACACTGTTTTAAATCCGAAGACAAAAGAAGATTTTTGCACAGTCAGAAAAAAGTTAACAACATACAAATGATTCTTCTAAATCAACTGACACGTTTTGAAACAGTGAGAAGCAAAAGTAAGTGATCTCTCCAGGAAATCGGAAACCAAAACCAAAGGAGGGTGAGATTGTCAGTGTAGAGTAAAGACACGATTCGCTCTCATGCACTGTAACAATTCAACGTAGAGGTTTCCGACAACACTGATTCAGTTTCGCATGTTAAGTTAAAAAAAACAAAATTTTACCAGGACCTCGGTCCCTTGATGGTCTCGTAAAAGTTCTCTCAACAATCAAATGTGAATTTGCCTATTTTGTTTTTATTTGCTATACACGTCAGCCGCTTCATTTTTTTTTGGAGTGCCGATGGCGACAGTAAAACGTAAAATGAGTGAGTAGTAGAGAATCATTTTCTTCTTCCCATAAAAGCAGAAAAAGAAATCACTCCTCTATGCAGTGAGATGAAAAAGAACTGTTGACTGTTTGCTCCAGACGACCATGTGATTCTTGTATATGCAAAAAAAAACTTTTGCAATGAGGGATAGGTTTTAATTACCTTTTTCTCCTTCTTTTTCTGTTCTCCAATTTGAATGATAACAACAACCATTTACGAAAAAGAGAGGCGAGTGTGTGTGCTGCGTCGAAGTGTACTGGGCAATTTTTCTTTCTAAATTTACTTATCTTAGTCGATTTAGAATGGCTACAAATAATGCATTTCATCGATTTATACAAATTGAATGGGAAGATAAAAAGGTTTTACCAATCGATGGATTAAAAACAAATGAAGATCTCCTAAGAATAACACAAGCTCTCCAACAAGTAATTCACCGTACTCATAATGTGGAGGCTTATGTGAAGGGTGCTGAAGAGCGTTTCAACGGCAATAAACTAAGCAAACTTACTTTCGACGAATGTGCCGCTATAAATGCGTACACCAGAGAAATGGGCGGCGACAGTTTGTATGTACTACTGAATCAAGCATTACGTTCCACAGATAGAACAGTACGCAAAAGATGGATGCCATTTCTTCACTTATTCTATTCTGCATGTAAAAAGTTGCCTGATTTCCAAGGAGAATGTTATCGAATTGGCACAACTGAAATATTAGATCAAATCAAAGTAGAACAACATATTACTTGGTCTGGTATAAGTTCTTGTTCAAAAGAGGTCGACTTCATGATGAAAAAGTGCCTTGATCAACATGGAATACTCTTTGTGATCAGTACCATTCATGGCAAAGATATTTCTGAATACTCGGCTAGTCCTGATGCGAATGAAATTATTATAATGCCAGGCATTTGTCTGAATGTAATGCATATTAAACAAAATCAGAAAAATAATAACTTAATACTGGTATATTTACAAGAATTAGACACTGCACAAAACGAAGCAAGAACATCTACTCAGGTAGCATCAGAACCATCTCGTGAGTACATTTGATATTCTTAGATTAGATTCTGAAAAAGGATTAAAATGATCAAAATATAGTTCTTTACTCTTTTTTTTTACCGATTGGGTTAATGTACCTCTTTGTCTCGCTCCATCAATAGAATATTGATCCACATAACGAGCCATTTTTGAAAATCTTATACAGCTGAAGATATTAAATAATGGTGTTTGATAATTTAATTTTTAATAAGTCAAAGGCTTTATTGAATAGCAATCTTTTTTTTGAAACTATTCAATTGGGTATCAAAAGCAATCTTCCCACTCAAATCTTCGCTTTTACAGAAAAGTGAACTCGATATGTAAGTACGCCGAGGAACCTCTTGATATCCCTGTAAACTGTTTAGACAAACCGATTCTTAACAGAAAATACTTTTTGAGTCGAACAAAATCTCGACATCAGAGCAATTGATAGAAATTTTGAAGAGTTTTATCCAATATCTGTAGAAAACCTGTTAACATAATCAAACAAAAGATCCAATAATAAAAACACATACTTTATGTAGGATAGAACGAAGAAGAAGAATACCTCTGCTGTTCGATTACCTTGCAGCATGGAGTGCTGCCTAATGACAAATTCAATAGCCCGATACTTTTTCTACAACTACGACTAGCTGTAGCTCTGGACAGAAGGCTGGCATGGCGCAGAGTGCTTCCGCTCAATTACTTCAGCTTCCCATTTACACTAACTAATCATATACTAGCCACAAAGGCAGGTATATGCCACAATGTAGTCAGCATGCTATCGGACGGATGGTCCGAGACAAATAACCATTAGTGAATTGTCCAGGGTCATTCCATGGCTGATGATACTGAGGTTCGCACACGGCACCTTGTGGATGCGTATCGAACAACATAACCACTTAGTCATGGCAGCTTAGAATGAGCAAGAGTGGGTTTCACTAAAATGCTTCAATAAAAAATTGAAAATTATGAGAGCTGCTAAAAAGTAATTCAATTTAGAAGAAAATACGGTTGTAACTGCGGGAAATATTTGATGTTATGATTCTACAATGCGAAGTCGTGATCGACTCTTTTGGTCAATAACAGATCGACGAATGATTCACTCTTCTGAACAAGTTTATCTTGGAGCCGTCCAACAGTACTTAAAAGGTCAAGAACAAAAAAGAAATGTATTTGAGTTCTGTATCTCAAATAGAGAGCCTCTGAAAGTAATAGTCAGATACAAAATTTTTGATCATGTCGTTCTACAAGTGTATTGTGCAGACTGAACACTGAATTCGGATCAATTTTAACATGTACTGATGGATATGTTCTGTAATTTTATATTGAATCTAAATCAGTTTGACCTATTGAAGTTAGACAACATGTTCACTGACAAAACTATTTATAGGCCACAGAACCATTATATAGAATCAAGATTCATTGTTCCATTGAAATGCTAGAGCGCAAATACTACCCTAAGTACGTAATATGTGCATTCAAAAATCAGTAATATTGGCCTTTTGATGGGCAAAGTATAAAATCGTAGAATGAATCTTTGATCAAGTATAAGGCGGATATCGATGGGTGGGCGGTTGGATAAGCGCAAAGAGAAAAGCATTATCCTCACCCATTCTATCGATGTCTATATCGATATTCACCCGTCATGTTTCGTACATTGACCATAGGAACAAAGCAATGAATGTTTACTTTTATAGATTAGACAATTCTCTAAATAAAACATTTTTAATGAAAGGAAAAAGTATGAAACTATCGATTTATCTATCTCTATATGCTAGTAACAATTCTTTTGCTGTTATTTCATGAGACTATTGTACGGATAGACTATGATACAGTCGATATATTCTTTTCCGACATGCCTACTTAGTTCTATCACAAAGACTTGTTGATATTTTCCTAAATTGAAATGTGTTTCAATCAAAAATATTTAGAGCCTACCTATCAATTAGAACGATTTAAAATGATCGATCACGAGAACAAACAAATGAAACTCGTCTACGAGAACCCGACGTATCCTAATCTAACACTCGACAAAGCTGTTCAATACATCACAAAAAAGATTCCACATTTGGATACTCTCGTACAGCAGTCTAGAAACGGGCATCGTATCAATTCGGAAGAGATGGCTGCTGTAAATTTATATGTCATGGAATGTGGTGAAGAACCTTTGTGCAAATTACTTAATGAAGCACTGATATCTGACCGCCAAGACGAACTGAAGCCTTGGCTTCCATACCTTCAATTATTTCGCGCTGGAGTTGAACGATTACCACAATTTAAGGGAGAATGTTGGTGTGGCACCAATACTAATATAGGGAGCAACTTCAAAACAGGTGAAATTATCACTTGGCAGGGAATTAGTTCATGCTCGAAGTCTTTGAATTACATCCTCACAAATTGTGTTGGCACAAATGGAACACTTGTCAAGATCAATGTTATCAATGGCAAAGATTTCTCCAACAACACACTTGATCCGAGAACACAAGAAGTTATTCTGATGCCTGGAACTACCCTAATTGTAAAGGGAGTTGGTCAATATCCAAATAAAAGTAAGATCTTTCTTGTAGAGCTAGAAGAAATAGCTGACAAAAAGCAAGAAAAAATTGCACAAGTTGCTCCGCAACCGCAGGCTTCATCAAACATCAATTATCCTAGTAAGTACTATTTTCTGAAATTCGAATAATTGTTACTGATACTTACATTTTTGTTTCTGTGATAAACCAAAAATTCAGTATACAGCACATAACCTATCTAAAACTCGAACATATAAAAGTAGGATTCGCAAACGAAAAGACTATACCTCTACGAACGACGGAAGCTAATTGAAACTACAATTAGTTTCCTTAGATTTTCATCTAGACATTAAGTACACTAGAAGATTTTATGCGGAAAGTGATTCATGTAATCACTTGTTTTTAATCATCACAGTTCTCTACTGATTTAATCGCATGTGATATTGTTAAGAACTTTTGTTTTCAACTTTAGATTCATCCTCAGCAAACTCAAATTATCATGCTGATCAAACTTCTTTTTCAAGAAAACCTACCGATAAGTATAACGAAATTACACCTTCACCGAAATCAAAGTATGATGATTATCAAGATGTCACAGATGAACGTTCGAGTACGTTGATAAATCTACTGATATATTCATACAGTTAGATGTTTTTGTCTGAATGTTAAAATAGCTCCTGTATCTCGAAGCCGTAATTGATTCAGAACGAAAACGAAATAAGAGAGAAATTTTTAGCATAATCATATAGAGGAGTATCGCATCCGAAAGCTGAAAACGAAATCGATTACTTATCAGAATATTTCTTTAGAAATCTCTATTCAGAATACATGAATTACATAAATCCTATATTCATCATAACAACCTTCAATTGCATCTGAACCTTCAATCTTTTTAAGAGGTGATTCAAAAGTTTGCAGGTAAAATATTTACGGTTTTTGAAATATCTGAAAAATCATTCTCAACGGTAAAAAATATCAGTGAAAATCAAAATTGTGTACCTGTTTCGAGGATGAGATCGAAAATGTAGCGTAAGATTTTGCTATGGTATTGAAAAATTTTTCAACAGTCCTAGATAATGTAATAATAAGAATTGGACGTAATCGGTCTAAGTAAGTAACCTTGAACAGATTATCTTAGAAAACTAATTTTGAAAAAATCTGTCTGAAAAATTGTGCGAGTCTTGACACAAGTCCCAATCAATCATATGCGGTTCCATCAATTCAAAATTTTTCCTTCTCTGAAAACTGAAATTCGGACTCATTCTAGGTAGGTCAGAAAAACACGAAATAATAGGTTTTATAGAACAGATCATATTCTAAAAATGATACATCAACAAAGGTTCCAAATTTCAAATACTTTTTGCCTTTTTTGAACAAGAAAAACAAGAAAAGGAGTCGAAAAATTGTCCATTCAAACATGTACAAACACTTTCTAAAGAAGTTCTTGTCCTTCTACAGCTAAAGTTGATATTTTTATAAATGAGAAAATATGAACAATTATATTGTCTAGAAGTTTTCGGTTTACTCAGTAAGATAAGAAAAGTTTTAATTGCTTAACTTCACAGTATTTATACTCATCATCATATTACTTCATGGTTGTGAAAACTATTACACTTTTGATGACTTCGAGTAACCTTTGATACCTTTACATATATCTTTATTAAATGTTGTCTGACTTATTGTTAATAGTTTCTTTGAAACCGACTATTAAGAAAGACTTTTTGAGTCCATCGACAAACACAATGACCAAGTGAATTTTCTTTTGAAACTATTCTTTTTCGATTGTCAGAAGAAAATTAGGTATACCATTTTCTTTTTACCGTCTAAAGTATTGTGGTTCCTGAGAAAAATGATATTTTCAAAAAGTCCTATAAAAAATTTCTTAAAACTTCAGCAAAAACAGTATGTTGCTTGTAAAACCTAAATGTCTTGTCCAAATTTTCGAGCGATATTTCATTCGAAAGAGTATTAAAAACTGAACAAAAATTGTTTTTTTTAAAGATTTTGGAGCTGAAATTTATCGATGATAGTATCAAAATTTTTGAAATCTGCGAAATTCGAAATTTTGACATTTTGAAAGGCCAGCAACGGAATGAAACTAAACGCATTTTGTGAGTCTGATAATTCTGCATAAGTAGGGGGAAATTTTTATTCAGTAAAAAGTGCACGTTGTGTCGAAAAATAATTTACAAAGGAATAAGGTCAAAATAGAATTTCGAGAAGAAAACTTCTGAAAACTGTTGTTTTTTTCTTCTCAATGCAATCATCATGGAAAAAAAAGTTGATATTCGTAGTCATCATATAGACATCTTTGTGAACCTGTATAGTTTCTCATGAGAAGATATGGAACCAAAAGTTTTGTCTCATTTAGAATCACTAGATTCTTAGCATTTAAAGTACCTTTTTAGCTTTTTTAGATGTTGTTTTATTTTTGAGAAGATTGGATTTTCCTCAATGTTGGTGGCAAAAGCACTCAAAACTTCTAAAATTGTGTCCGTATTTGGCAGCTTCTATCATGATAGTCTATTCTGATAGAAAAACAAATAGCATATTTAGAGTCAGCACAAAAGTCTAAGTCGAATAATATATATATTCGAGTGTGAGTGTGGGTGTGAACGAATAGAAGACCGAGAACCAGATCATCTGTTATCCACACCCACACACATTCACAGCTACAACCAAGTCCACACCAGTCTTCAAAAGGGTCAAAATCTTTAAAATATTTCAAAATTTCGAAATTGTAAATTTCAAAACTATTGATATTTTCATCAACAAATCTCAACTTCCAAATCTTTACAAAAACCGTTTTTTTGTTCAGTTTTTAATGCTCTTCCGAATGAGATGCCGCTCAAAAAACTGCATAAAACTTCTAGGCTTTATAAGTAACATACGGTTTTTGCTAAATTTTTAAGAATTGTCTGTAGTACTTTTTAAAAAATCATTTTGGTCAAGAATTACAATAATTCAGAAGCTAAAAAGAAGATGGTATAACTAATTTTGTTCTGACAATCGAATAAGAGTAGTTTAAAAAGAAAATTCACTTGATTATCGCGTTTCTTGAAGGGCTCAAAAAAATCTCTCTTAGGAGGCGAAGAATAAAAATAAGATATTCAGCTTTTGTATCTGAAACAAAGAGTCTCTGAAAGTAACAGTCAGATGCAAAATATTTGGTCATGTCGTTCTATAAGTGCATTGTGCAGACTGAATACTGACTTCAGATCAATTTTAGCATTTGCTAATGGACATATTCTGTAATTTAATATTGAACCTAAATTGGTTTAACCTATTGAAGTCAGGCAACGTGTACACTGACAGAGCTATCCCTAGGCTGAAGAGTCATTATATAGAATCAATCCATATTTGTTCCATGGAAACGCTAGAACTCAGATGTCACCCTAAGTACGTAATATGTGTCATCGAAAAGCAGTATTTGTGACGTTTTGATGGGCAAAGTATGAGATCGTAGAGTGAATCTCTGATCAAGTATAATACAGATATGGGCGGATAGGCATAAGGGTGAGTCTGAAGAGAAAAACATCACATTCTCACTTATCCCAGTGGTAACCGCATCAACATCCACGTGTTATATTTCGTATATTCACCATGTGAACAGTACACTGAATACTTTTATGTATTACAAAATTCTCTAAATGAAACACTGTCTGTGGGAGAAAAAGATAATTATGAAAATAGCGATTTATTTATCTTTATTCGTTAGTAAACAATCTTTTACTGTAGTTCCAGGACACTACTACGCTGATAGACCTTGATACAACCGATATATTTCTTCTGACATCTCTGACTAGTTCTATCACAAAGACTTGTTGATCTTTTCCTAAATTGAAATGTATTTCAATCAAAAATATTTAGAACCCACCTATCAATTAGAACGATTTAAAATGATCGATCACGAGAACAAACAAATGAAACTCGTCTACGACAACCCGACGTATCCTAATCTAACACTCGACAACGCTGTTCAATACATCCCAAAAAAGATTCAACATTTGGATACATTACTTCAGCAGGCTAAAAACCATTATGGTAATAACTCAGATGAGATGGCTGCTGTACGATTGTATACAATGGAATGGAGAGACGAACCTTTGTGTAAATTACTTAATGAAGCACTGAAATCTGACCGCCAAGACGAACTGAAGCCTTGGCTTCCATATCTTCAATTATTTCGTGCAGGAGTTGAACGATTACCACAATTTGAGGGAGAATGTTGGTGTGGCACCAATACTAATATAGGGAACAACTTCACAAGAGGTCAAATCATCACTTTGCAGGGAATTAGTTCATGCTCGAAATCTCCAGATTTCATCCTTCGCTATTGCGTTGGATCAAGCGGAACTCTGGTTAAGATTGATGCTATCAATGGCAAAGACCTCTCCAAAGATACAATTGATTTTATCACACAAGAAGTTATTTTGATGCCTGGAACTACTCTAACTGTAACGAGGGTTGCTCTGCATCCAAATGAAAATAATATCACTCTCGTAGAGCTACAAGAAACAATTGTGAAAAAGCATGACGAAGTCGCACAAGTTACTTCAAAATCAGAGACTTCATTATATGCCAATCGTAACAGTGAGTACTCTTTTTTTAACCCAAATAATTATTATTGATACTCACTGTTTTTCCTTCTTTTGATAAACTGAAAATTGAGCATTCGGTAAATGACTCATCTGACATTCAAACATATAAGATCACTATTGATAAGCGAAAACAAAATGCAGTATACCACTGCGAATGATGAAAGCTAATGGAAACTTCAATTAGTTTTCACAGATTTTTATCTAGAAATTAAATTCTCTAGAAGATTCGATGTAGAAAACAAGACATAGAATCATTTTCCTAAATATTGATAGCTCTCCATTAATTTAATCAAATGTGATATTGTTAAGAATTTTCGCTGTAAATTTTAGGTTCATCTTCATCTGTATCGAAACATGAAACCAATCAAATTCCTTCAACAAGATCAGCAGATAACTATCATGAAACTAAATCCTCATCAAAATCAAAGCATGATGATAATCAAAATGACGTAGATACCAGTTCTGGTACGTTGATATCTGTACTGAAATATTGATACAGTTAGATTGCTTTTTGTCTGAATGCCAAAATAGCTGCTTTGTTTCGAATTCGTCATCGATTCAGAATATGAATAAAATAAGTGAGACAGATTTAGGATAACCATACGGAGGAGTACCTTACTTAGAAGTTAAAAGTGAAATCAAATAATTATCAGAGTAGTTCTTAACAAATCTGTATTGAGAATGCGTGAATTAAATAAATTCTATATTCATCATAACATGAATAATAAGCTTCAGTTGCATCTGAACATTCAATCTTCGTAAGAGTTAGTACGAAAGTTTTTAGGCAAAATGTTCGCTCTTTTGGAAGTAGCTGAAAAATCATTCTCAAGAGTAAAAAGCTATGTATGACAATCAAAATTGTGTACTCGTTGCAAGGTTAAGATCAGAAATGTGGTGTATGGTTTTGGTCTAGAGTACTGAGAAAACTTTGAACGATCCTAATTAACGAAATAACACGAACTGGATGCAATCGACTTACGTCACCTCGAAAAGATTAGCTTGGAAAACTATTTATTTCGTCACTTCTCTTAATTCAAAGTTTTTCCCATGTGAAAATTAATACTCTGGCTCATTTTAGGGATATCAGAAAAGCATGAAATAATAGGTTTGATAGAACACATCGTGCTCAAAAAAAAATGATATATCAGAAAAGCCTCCGATTTTCAAGTATACTTTTGGAATTAATGAAAACAAGAAAAGAATAAAAAAATTGTCCGTCTAAACATGTTTTAAGACTTCCCAAAGCAGTTCTCATCGTTCTACAGCTAAATCTGAGAGAAAATTGCCGTTCTGATATTGTCAAAGTGTACAGAATTCTGTTTTCCACACGTGCGTTTCCCACTTTTCTGAAATTCTTGTTATAAATGAAAAAATTCGAACAAACATTTGGTCTAGAAGCTTTCGGTTCATTCAGTAATATAAGAAGAGTTTTACTTGATCAACTTCACAGTATTTGTATTCATCATCATATTACTTCGTAGTTGTTCAAACTATCACACTTCTGTTAACATCCAGTAATCTTTGATATCTCTATAAAATGCTGTCTGACTTATCTCTAGTAGTTTCTATGAGATCTATTATTACGTACGTAGTACGAGAGTATAGTATTTTTTATTCAAACTTGAACTAAATAATATAAAAATAAAAATTATCGTAGGTGACATCTGCACTTTGATTATTCGTCTCACTGATGTTGATTGTGAAAATAAGGCATCAAAATCTATCGAAGGTTATCAAAATAAGAGTATTGCAACACTGGAAGAAGCTCTCAATCCCATAAAAAACATTATTCCTCAGTTGGATGATTATATACGACGTGCTAAAAAACGCGCTCATACGACTTCTTCAAATGTCCTTACTGTTGATGAATCGGCAGCTATATATTTATACACTATGCAGTTGAATGATCAATGTTTCAGTCGTATGCTTAACCGAGCATTACGATGTGAAGATCAAACTGATCTCAAGAAGTATTGGTTTAGCTATCTTGGACTAATTTGTTCAGCACTTACCAAATTACCTTCTGTCAAAGGGCATGTTTATCAAGGTGTAACTAGTAAAACTGAGAAAAAATATCCAAAGAATGAAATAATTACTTGGTGGGGTATCACATCGTGCACACAAACGCCAGATAATATCGTTTCTTCGCTGTCGGACGAAAAGTTGACTCTATTAAATATTAAAATTCTCAATGGTAAAGATATATCGGCATATTCATGTAATAGCAATGAAACTGAGATCATCCTGTTACCGGGTACTCGTCTACGTGTGAATGATATGTTATATAATACTAATTTTAACATTGACGAGATTGATTTGGAAGAAATAGATGATGAAACACTTCAATCAGAGACTATACGACAAAAAACTAAACATCGTATTTCAAAAGATGGATCTTTCGGTAAGTGTAAGATTTTCAACCAAATATAGTTTTTGGTCTACCGTTTGAAGTCAATCATTAATTTAGTTTCATTTTTTTCTAAATAATGATAGGAAATGTATATAGCTTTGCGATGCTTGCCTGATGGAGTCTAATTGGGTTGTGAATATAGATGTGAGAGTTCGTGAGATTGAATAGAAGATTCTCTCAAATTCACATCCATACTCTATGGATTTGGCGGAATTATCAAATAGCATGAATACCTAAGATATCAAACTTTTCGAAAAAAATTTCTACATCATTAGACTCATCAGCTCAGGTACTATAAAATCAGGTAAGTTTTATCTGAGAAAAGGTAAATGACCTAAAATAAAGGACTATGTTTTCCCAATCTTTTTTTTTTATTTGCAAAATTGTTTCTAGGTTTTGGATTGGCAAGGTCATCGCATCAATCATGCACTTTCAAAACGGGTAAGACATCATTTGTAATACATGCAACATTTCGCACGCGGAATCCTTTTCACTAATATAAAAAATGAAGTTAATCTATGTGAGAGAATTTAAATATATCTGATTTTGGCGCTTGTTCTGCACTCCGAACGTCATTTTTTCTTCGATTAGAAATATAACTTGGAAGTGTCTTATGTTGAATGCAACCTCTAGCATCAATATTCGTTGTTCTTTATGATTTTTATTACATTTGACGATGAGCACTGCTAGTGAAACAGTCCCAAAATAGTTATGTAATTATAATTCTATCAGTTGTTTTTGTTGATGATCGTTAACTCGTATTTTGAGTTTATTTCGTGTTTCAATCATGAAGTTTATACAGCACTCGACATGATCCATATTAGATCATTTTTAGGTTAATATATAAAAATTTATTACATAGTCCCATGACATTGAAAATATTTGTTTCTATATAGGATGTCCAGAAAGTCACGAAACACATTAAAAATTGGATATTTTCACCGCACTCTAACCAAATGAGTTGATTTTTTTTCTGAAAACAAAGAATACTTTACTTTATTTTCTTTCATATGAGCAATGATACAAATTGAACTTGGTTAAACTCAATCACCAAATTTTATCATTCAAGGTCGATTTTAAGAGATGAAATATTTTATGAAGTTCTATACTGTAGAAAAATTTCTTTTCTTCTAGGCTCTACTATGTGCAAATTCAAAGAAATAAGAAAGGGATACAAAAATTGACATTTCTCTAAGTTCTACGAGCTACTCCATGTGAAAAAGCATTGATTTTTCAATTTTAAAATATTGCCATTTGTCTCGTTTTCTATCGGAAACGACAAGATGAGAACGAATAAGACCATTTTATGATACTCGTCAGATTCAATTTCTATGTGCCTAGACAAGATCGAGAATGATTTCCAGATCTTTTTTTGGCGAATGTGTTTCCTGAAAATTCACATTGAAGTTTTTCGTTCCCGAATCCCACAAACGTATCATGGAAAATCCTCGTCTACAAATTCATTTAAAAAGTATAGGAGTTTATCGAGTCAAGCATGCTGAGAAAAAAAATCGTTGTAAAAGAGCTCTCCAAACTTCTTTGGTTTCCTGTTTATCGAGACCACTTCATTTGCCCGAAAATGATTTGTTTAGCCTCTCATATATGCTAAGAAAGTAGTATATTACAATACTTTGAGTACTGCAGGAATCTGAACATTTTTCAGAGAAAAACAACTCAATCAATGGAGAATATTCAAATCATGGGCTAAGATGACTCATTTTTTCTTCATGTAATTCTGAAAGTGATTCCCATATAGGCTCAAACTTGGCCAGTATTCTTCAGTTTTATCCGATGATCCTGCTTAAAATAGCATAAAATGAGGAAATAAGGACAAGTTGTAAGAAAAGAATCAACGTCCGAATCGCGCTCTAAGATTGTAAGAAAGTCTCTAAAGTGTCTAACAATAGTTTTGAATGTTGTGAACTATTATTTATCTAATTAGAATGCACTCCCAAAATTGTATGTACGAGACAAATAAAAGTGAAAACAAAAAATTAGATACACGATAATACTCGATTGACTCCATTCTATCTTTTCCTTGGATAACACATCTCAAATAGAACAAAAAAACTTCCCGGTGTGACAAATTTCATCTTTGTGTCTGAACTACTTTCCAGATCACATTGACAAAAAAAAACGAGTCAATCCAACGAAAATGAGCCATTTGACCTCCGATATGAATACTCTCTATTGATTGAGTTGTTTTTCTCTGAAAAATGTTTAGATTCGTGCAGCACTCAAAGTATTGCAATATACTACTTTCCTAACATAGACGAGTGGCTAAACAAGTCACATTCGGACGCATGAACTCGTCTCGATGAATAGAAGAAAAAAGAAATTTGGCAAATTCTTTTACAGTGATTTTCTTTCTCAGTACTCTTGACTCTATAAGACTCATATGCTTTTTAAATGAAGTTATAGACGAAGATTTTCGGTGATATCTTGTGGGGATCTAGGGACGAAAAAGTTAAAATAACTAATAACTCTTATGTTTTACTGTTGTAACAATGTTCACGACTTCTTCAAAGAAATAACCTTTGGAACTAAATTCTAGCTGAGCTCGATCAGGAAAAACCAGCTATAAAAAATTTGAATCAATGAACAAAATAACTATAAAAATTCCTTAACATAAAAACTAAATAAAAGATAAATAGGTCATCCCTAATGTTGAATAATATTTTAAGATCATTTTATCTTCATCATCTAAACAATGGGATTGTTTGGAATTTCATTGGATGTACTATATTAAAACATTATGTGATTGATTTTTGTTTCTATATAGACAAAACTTGGCTAGAATGTCGATTCAAAGATAGAGAAGGTACAACAATTCTCAAACCCGATGAATGCGAAGAATACCTTACTGATCCTCCAGAAAAAATCGACAAACACATTCTGGATCGTATTAAGGGCTCGATGTTTGGTTTAGTTTTGGGAGATGCTTTGGGTGCTCATGTCGAATTTAGGCCCCACAGCTATATGCTTGCTAACCAAGTTACTGATCTACGAGGTGGAGGAACATGGGGCCTCGAGAAAGGACAGGTAAATTTCACTATACTCTTTTTGAGTACTTGTTGGATGGCAAATCTAATAACACATAGCTTTTGATGTTCCATCGTCGTGATTATGTACTTTTCTCATCTGTGAGCTTCTTTATTTGCAGGTGAGGATCGGACTAAATATCGAACAACTTGATTTCGAGAAAGATCTGTATCCCATTTTAATTAGTGATGTACTAAACCCCCCCTCATATAAGAAGCCCCCCTGGGCTTCTAAAGTATCCAGCATAAAAATTTTTTGGAGGGGGCTTCTATTATGTTCTATGATTTTTCGAAGGTTTTAGGTACTAAAGTTTTTCAAAAGCCTTAATAGGATTTTCAGGGTTTTTTACAGATTTTTGAGGGTTTTGAAGGAGTTTTTGAGATTTTAATACGGTTAACTAAGAATTTAACGCATTTTTACCTTAAAATTTCGTAATTTTTTAAGTTTTGCTATGAAAATACTAAAAAATGTTTTCAAAAAACTCTCAAAAAGTTTTTAAAATAAGGGGGCTTCTAATATGTCTGGCATATCGAATCCTCCAGAGGGGGCTTCTAATACGGGGGGGGGGGGGGCTTCTAATATGGGATGGGCTTCTATTATGGGAGGGGGTTTACAGAGTTGTGCACCGCGCCTAAAAAACGGCACGTGAGCGGTGCACGTCTTTGATGTACGAGTAAAGTGTAGAATTTTCTTATGCAAGATACTTTTTGCAATGTGATTTGTATTAATTAATGATAAAGCGAAACTTTTCTGAGGTAAAGAATATTTCAAAAGACGAATAGTGACGATTTTCTATTTAAATATTCAATAGTCACTCGTAAAAAAAAGGAGATTCATTAAAAATTAGATTCTTACTCATTTTTTTTTCAGAAAGCGTTAATAACGTATACTTGAACTTCACTACTTTTCTGCATCAAACTTCATGTTTTGATACTATCTCTTTGTAGAGGTAACACAGAAAAGTCAGTGATCAACCGATTTCTTGAACTGTATTGAAATTATAATGAAATTCAAAAGAAAATGTTGATAGTGAAGGTGGTGACATGGTTCTACTCTTTAATCACCCATCATTACCCTTTCACACTGTTACCTACACTCTGAGTATCGGTCATAGCTTACGACACTAGAAAGCTTCAGTCATCCTGTTGCTGTCTGTCACGTGAAAGGTCACATCACTTTGATCGCTATATGTATGTAAGGTGGTGAAAAGTTGGTCTGAAGAAAAAAATTCATAAACATTTATCAACCTTGCGATAATTCTCCGTGCTTTGTTTAGTTTACAGACGACGGATCGATGGCTCTTTGCTTAGCGAATTCATTAGTGGCTCGTCGTGGTTTTGAACCTTATGATCAATTAGTTCGCTATAAATGGTGGTTTAGACATGGATACATGTCATCGACAGGAAACTGTTTTGATATTGGTGAAAGTACTAGAAAAGCACTTCGTACATTTGAAGATCGACAAAAAGAGTTCGCTGAAAAGTATAATATTCCATTAGAAGAAATCGATTTTCTATCGGATAAGCAACTTCTCAAAGATTTTCCTATGTACTGCAGCTCAGATGGAGCAGCTGGTAATGGTGTACTTATGCGTTTGGCACCTGTGCCTCTATTTTTCTACCGAAGTCCAGAAGTTGCTGTTAGATTCTCTGGAATCAGTGGTGAAATTACTCACGGAGATAAGAAAGCCGTTGATGCATGTCGTTATTATGGAGCTCTTATTGTAGCCACTATGGGCAATATAGATAAAAATAAACTTCTCAGTGAAGAATATTATTCATCCAAGATTAAGGAATTGTTTCGAAACGATCCTTTAGATGTGGAAATTGCAAACATTGCCAAAGGATCATTCAAGAAGGAAAAAGGGTATGATGCTGGAATACGAGGTAAAGGTTACGTTGTTAATTCTCTTGAAGCTGCATTATGGGCTTTTTGGAGTACTCACTCGTTTGAGGAAGGTGCTCGAGCAGCAGTAAATCTTGGTGACGATACTGATACAACGGCAGCTATTTATGGTCAGTTAGCTGGTGCGCACTACGGCTATGAGAAATTACCGCAAGAATGGGTCAATTGTGTCTATTCCAAGCGCTTCATTGAATGCTTGTGCAAATGGATTGCTTATGAAGGAAGTCAACTAGGCTTCAATAATTAACATACATACTGAATATTTATAGTTGAAGACACGAATACCAATTAACTAGTATGCGTCATTTCATTTATTCTCGATTCTGAAAGAGCTATTATATCACTAATACCTTTTCTTCTGATTCAAAATTTGTAGTATCATCATTATAATAGCTCTTTGAAAGTACAGAGAACGGAACACAATTATCGGAAGGAGCGGGAAGGGGTAAGCATGTGGACTCAAACGACTAAGATAGAGTAGTGAGTTTTGACTATGTATAGAAGGACTAAGAAAGATCTAAGTGATTTTGTTAATTGTATTATTATCAATTATTCTTAGGCGTTGAAATTCGTTTATAGTAACTCTCAACTTTTGTCATTATATGGCCAGTTGGAAAAGATATTTGACCTTGATGTTCGTGTCTTTTGTCTCTTCTAATTGAATTGTCGAATCGAAACAACATTCTATCGATTCATCCGATATATTTTGCAATGCGAAAAACACATAAAGATTATTGGGCACACGATGCTAAGATAAACAGTTGATGACTTTGATTTCGCTTTTGTAATACACGATCAATAATGAGTGTTGATGTATACACAGAAAAAGTGAACCACACTACGCACTGCGACATATTCCATGTCATGAAAACCGGAAAAAAATCGGCACCTTACCGCGGTTTTACTGGCTCCTTTACAGCGAAAAATCGGTTGTTTTCTCCGGTTAACTGGTGATTTTTGCCGATAAATCGCAGTTTACTGCTAAAAGTGATCCAGTTGTTGTGCATGGAATAGACAAACTAGCGTCGCAGGTTGACACATATATTGTGAGGGCGTTTTCAGCATACCTGTCATGGTATGTGATGCTTTCAAAGAATTTTCGATGATTTACTTATTGTTTCCCGAAAATACTGCGATTGACTTACACAGGCGTCTTCATTATGGTCTCAATAGGTCCATCGCTTTTCATAGTCTAATCTCGTAGTGACTATTCTGAAAGCTTTCTTGAATAATCAGCACTACTGGACAGGAGGAAATATAGTGCATTCAAGCGCTATGTTCTTCAGAATCAAAATTTGTCGTAGTCTCTCAAGATAAAGCAATAAAACGGCAATCTCTATGGATTTCAACTCACTAAAATCAACAAAATGTTTTCGATTTTTTAAATTGCGATAGTTAGTTTTCGACTTTTCTGGAGCTTAGAATTTTTCGTCTTTCAAATCGAGTTTTGCGGATGAAAGTCCAATAATATTTCAGACGTATCTGTCAAGGCTTCGTGAGGTGAAAGGAGTGAATCCAACTTTCTCTCTATTTACTTTAGCATTCATTAACCATTGTGCTCCGCATTTAAACTGTTTTACGTGAACGACCACTTTTGTATGTATGTGTGGCTCTAAAATATTCCTGAAACACAAGCACAACGCAAGTGGTCAATGGATTGATTGCATAGCCGAAATTTTAAAGACATTGTGTCATCGATAGCACACTCCCATATGAAGGAAGCGATAATAATGATGTTCCTTTTTTGTAACGTTGAGAGCTGAATATTGAAATTTTTCAATAATCCTATACATGAGCATTGCTTCCATTAGTCGACCTTCACCCAAGGGGGAACAAACTGATTTCGATCGCTGAAATCAGTTTGAAATCACCTGAAATCAGTTTGAAATCATCTGAAATCACCTGAAATCAATTTGAAATCACCTGAAATCAGTTTGAAATCACCTGAAATCAGTTTGAAATCACCTGAAATCACTTGAAATCACCTGAAATCAGTTTGAAATCACCTGAAATCACTTGAAATCACCTGAAATCATATGAAATCATCTGAAATCATGAAATCATGAAATCAGTTTGTTCCCCCTTGCCTTCACCAAAGTAATTCAACATGCTTTGTAGAGGTCTAAGCACGACACATACTTTCTCGTCAACATTGTCTCTATGTGGAAAGACAGAAGCATACATCATATATCTTTTTCTATCCTCTGATAAGGGTACAGCGTATTTTTTTAAGCCCACAAATCATTGACAATGACAGAACTAGAATTGATTGAAGCACACGTTTTCCGTGTTCTTTCGCAAGGAATCGACGTATTTGCACATGGTAACCACTTGAGTGACTAATCTCATTGACGTAGAAAAGTTTTGATCAACACATGAAGAAAGGTGTACTTTATTAATTTGCAACAGTTGGTTTTTTCTAAGTTTCAGAAAAAAGGAGTGAATGTGTGAGTATGGATGTTGGTGTGTCGGTATGAGTGTAGGTCATCTCGTTACCTACACGCAATACCGCAGCCACTTCGCGCCCACGCCTGTGTTTACGCATTTCGTAATTTTTTCTAGCTGCACTACCTACTGAACCTATGTTTATAGATTGAATTCTATAATCTAATTAAGAATGTGTAAGCAGAGTATCTGGGTCAAGCTTAGGTAAGTGAATGTCAACAAATGATTCAATATATCTTTCTTTGTTTGTTTGTTACGTTGTAAGTAGCATCGATAATAATGGACTCAATCCGATGATGAATATCAGATTTGCCTCTTTCCAACATGAATCTGAGCGGCAATCTGAATGAGCTAACATTGCTACTGTAGCAATTGCATATTGTGAGACTGTTTGTCCGTATTCGAAATCAATGAAATCCACAGTATCTAAAGTGTCATGATATCCATCACGGTCGAAATTTTCATGATAATTTATGTGTTCATTGAATAATAGACAAGTAAAACCGTATTCGACAAATCTGACTCCATCAGTATTATATAAATATGCAAAGGGATCACTCCATCGACGCAGGACTGGTTGTAAATTCTGTAGAATTAAATCATTCTTGATTCGTGGATAAACGTAATTGAGAGCTAATTCAGCCATGAGTAATGATTTAGTTGTATCTCCTGCGTTGACTTGAACAATAGGATCACTTCGATTGACACGATGGCCGATCATATCAACAATAACGGCAGTGTGAATTGGTTGCTTTTTTATGAATAGCTGCTGTAGGAAATGTGTGATACCCAAACTAGCCGCAGGATATTCTTCACCTGTCAAATGAACTAACCATATGTCACGGCACGCATTTTCTTGGGTTTTTTTCAGTATCGAAGCTGATTGAAGTAAAGCCATCAAGCCACTAACATTGTCATCGGCGCCTGGTGTTGACCGCCGTTTTCCAGTATTGGCGAATGTATCTCCCTCAAATGCAGTGTCGATATGATCGATAAATACTACTGGCTCATGACACTTGTAAGATCCGCTAGCGGGTATGTAAGCAATAAGATTTGCTTGCGTAATATTTCGCCAGTGAAAGATCTGTTTTTCCGTTCGAATATTCAATTTATTGTATCGTTCAATAAGATAATCGATCAAATCCATTAATTGATTATCGGTTTGTATAGAAGATTTACGAGTCAAATAAATTTGCGTTGTATTTTCATATTCGAGTGGTTGTACGGCACTAAATCGATACATATCCGATTTCCATTGGTTTGCAAATGATTTTGTCCATTGAAGATCATTGTACCAATCATCAGAAACCGGCTTTGTTTTGAGTATGTCATTTGATGATGGAGATGGGACAGTATACCAAGAAATATTCGACGGCCACTCGAAACTATTGTTTTGCGTAATGTTGATAAACAATGTGTATGGTTTTCCATTGACATGAAATGGTTGTGGCAGGAGAACACAGATATTATGATGTAGCTCCTGTTCAAATTCATTCATTTTTTCGGGTGGCAACCATCCCGAATAGATTGTCGTTGTTTGCATTTGATTCAGAGAATTTGTGTAATTCGTAGATGTCCACAGACAATCACCGAATACAGGTTTCATGTATAATGATGGCTGTAATAAAATGTCGGCAAATATTTCAAAACGATGATCTGGATTTGATGTTATAAGTAATTGAGGTAAATAGGGTTCGGGATACTCAGATTCAGTTAATGGAGAATCGACTGAAGATGGAAATTGGAGCGACGAAGAATTCAACCAGATCCAGTGTGTATCATTACAAAATATTCTAGCGTAAACCCATGTATAAAAGCCAAATGCACCAAGACTCGGCCACAATTCAATCATGGTAATATTCATCGATTTATGGTCATTCAAAATCGATTGCAACTGACTCTCACCAGAGAATTTGAGTGACTGAGGAAGGTAAATTCTATTGGATGTCATCGAATCACAATTCATATCGGTTATATTGAATTCTAAATTAATAGGTTTGCAGCCTGTATACAAAGGAATATGTTGATCATCGCCTGAGATGAACGGCTGTAAATACTGCACTTGATTAGTTACGTACAAAGATAACGGAACTATACAAAAGATATTATTTTGCTGGAATAAGAGGAAAAATATGATTGTGCTTCGTAGCATGGTTTTGTACTATGGCGATTATGGATTTTGTCGGAATTTGTTTTGTATTGATTCTCTTATCAACGAACGAATGCTCGATTACAACCAGTTGAAATGGATTTTTGATAAACAATTCTTTGATGACAAATATTTGCAATACTTTCGAGTGCATTATACACACGCCTATTCTCCTTATAGATATAGATAACATAACGGACAGCCCATAAGAAATGACAGTCTCAGTATTTTATTAGCATCTTAAGTGTTACCTTATCGCTCACGCTTTATTTTTTTTATCAAAAGATTCGTCGTTTGATTCTGCACAAAATGGTATGTTTCATTGCAAAAAATACTTATCTCTTTAGCTTTCGACATCACCATGATTTAAAACAAGCATTGCACAAAACTTTCAAAATCTTCGTTTTTTTTCAATTTTTGGTGAAAACATTCAGTTCATCAATTAATCCTGTTACTTTTGGTATAATGCGTTCATTACTCAAGAGATGAATTTGTTCATTTCAATCAACGTATCTAAGCCGATTTATTTTATTGCTAGGTAAAGAATATGTCACAACCAAACATAATAAGACTAAATCAGGTGCTCATTGTTTTTGAAACAAATTGAAAAAAATGAAGATTTTAAAAGTTGTGTGCAATGTTGGTTTTAAATCATGATGATGTCGAAAGATAAAGAGATAAGTATTTTTTGCAATGAAACATACCAATTTGTGCAGAATCAAACAGCGAATCTTTTAATATAAAAATAAAGCGTGAGCGATAAGGTAACACTTAAGATAAAAATCTTCTCTGTCGTATAAATTAATATATCGTCCCTATAACTAGAAAAAAAGTTAAGAAAGTGTGAAATAATATTCAGCTAGTTGCAAGAGACGATATATCCAATTATGAGCATTTTCCAGATTTGTAATAAGATAGAAAAAGAAATTTTTCTCAGAAGTATGAAAAGTTTTGGCTCGCCTTATAGATCTAATTAGACCTAGAAAATATCGAAAAGACTTCCGCTCAATGACTCTTTCTTTGAAATTTACGATCATTGAACTAAAATTTCATATTATAGATAAGTATATATATATATCTATAAATTAAATAAGAAATTTTTTTCACAAAAAGTTCTTTTGTTGTCTTAGTTGAAACTTTGTGTATTATTCAAACAGAAATTGATATCAAACAGTTGAATATTAAATGAAATTCATGGATATCAGTCTTCTTCTTTTCTACTTAAATCAAAATACATTACTAAAAATAACAGAAGTATTGTCACTTATGAATCAAATTAATCTAAGTTTAAAATATGTCAATTGACAATAATATTTATTAAATTAAAAAAAAACAAGTTTAATTAACACGACACATTTCATTTGACTGTTCATTAGATATTGGTTGTTGTTGTGGTTTATTTATAAATTCAATTGGAATTTCACGTATGAATTGTTGAGGAAAGTTTTCTTTAACAAAACGTTGCATATGAATTTTATTTTTTTCATAAAATTCAATAAAAACTTTATCTTTTTGTTGTTTAGTCATTTTTATATAAGAATCTGAATTCATTGTTTTCAAGAAAGCTTGTTCATAGAATTCCAAAGTTTTTTCAATTTCAATAGCAGTTGGTCGTCGTTTTGAATCTTCATCTAAGCATCTTGAAATAATTTCATCATAAAAAACTGGACTTTGCTTAGTTATTGTAATACATGGCAAGGATGAAGAAAAACGAAAATGATGCATTTTTTCTGTAAATAATTGATTTAATGTAAGACCATATGTATATATATCTAATTTTTCATCACATTTAACATGTCCATCAGATACATCACGAAAAAATTCTGGTGGCATAAATTGTATACAACCTAATTGAGTTTGTTGACCAGTTGGATCAAGAACACGAGCAATACCCATATCACCAATTTTAGCGACATAATTATCAGTAATAAGAATATTATCTGGTCGAATATCACGATGTATCATGCCATGTTGATGAATACGTCTCATACCTGATGCAATTTGTCGAGACATGGCTAATTTACGTCTTAATGATAATTGATTTGGTTGATTTTCAAGAAGATCTTGTAAACTTCCACGTCCCATTAATTCCATTATTATCATAAATTGAGTTTTTGATCCACGATTACGATTTGCTGGTATATCACGATTTGCATATGCAAATGTTCGAAGAATATATGGACCAGATAATTCTCGATATGCAGCTAATTCAAGAAGAAAACTTCGATGATTTGGATCTGATGTTGATGATCTATCAGATATTTCAATTACTTTACAAGCAACTTGACGATTTTTTGGCCGCCATATTGCTTTACATACATAACCTATTATAAATATATTTGTATTTATAATTCGTTAATTAAATATAATAATTAGACTTACCAAATGATCCTCTACCTAAAACTTCTCCCATTTCAATATCATCTGGATCGATTTTTGGCATAACTCTATTCGAAGTTAAAATTAATGGATGATTTTCTTCATGATTTTTTGTACAAATATGTTTATCAATTGCACATGTTTCACATAAATTATAATTTGGACATGTATCACATTTAAAACGTAAACCAATGAAATTTTTTTTCTGACAAACTCCATCACATTTTATATCATCATGTCGTTCATATCGAAGTGTATCTAAATTTCTTAATCTATTTAAATTAACTTCATTGTCAATATTATTAAATTGTATTCCTAAAACTTCATTTGGTAATTTAAAATGAACCATAGCATGACCATTAAAATGTTTTCCTGTTTGACAACGTCTTTCAAAACAACGTCCACATAAATCATAAGTTGGTGATGTACATTCTAAACAATGATATCGATCAACTTGACGAATGGGTTTCATTCTACATGCAGCACATTTAGCATCATGAACATCATAATCATCATCATTAGTATCATCGGATTGAGTTTTATTGACTAATTTTGCAAGAATACTCATCAAAAATAAATCATCGAGACGATTCGAATTGTTTTCTGAAGAAAAAATTCGCAAGAAATATGAAACGATAAAATTTTTTTTTTAAAAGCATATTTTTATTTACTTTCAACTTGATGTTTCGATTCATGAGGCGAAGATTTGTTTAGAATAAATTCACAATGTTGTTTTGTACCTAACATAGATAAAAAAAATAGTTTTTTTTTTGAAAATTGATTTAATTTTTAATTCGTTGAATTGATTTTAAATTTTAATTATTTAAAAGAGAAAAGTTTGTAAACTAAAACATTGAACCCAAATCAAAAAAAAAGAAATATGAACTGATTCACACGGGAATCTACCAGAAATCGATAAAACGTGGAGATAGTATTTCGAACTGGAAAGTCTCCAAATTTTTCCGTTGATTTTCGCCCAAATTATTTTTCTTTCCTATGACAAATGACCAAAAATCATCGAAAAAATTTGGAGACTTTCCGAAACAAAACACTGTCTCAAAGTTCTATTAATTCTTGGCATTTTCTTGTCAAGCTTGATGATTTTGCGGTATCTTTCCAGCCGATACCAATAAAATTCGCTTGTTTCCGGAGACCCGAAATTTTCAATTTCGATTTATTATCATGAAATTTTAGTATAAAACAATGCGATTTAATATTTTTACATATTTATTATTCGATCGATGAGTTTTAGAATTCGACAAGTTCACTTCTCGTTTGGATCTGAGGAACTGTTGAAACAAATCTTGTGATATGATCTGATTTGGTTGAACAGTTCTTCCACTGACTGGGATTTGGTCGACACCTAATAAGTTTGCGATATCGTCTATTCCTATTTGTTTTTTTTTTCTTGATTTATATATTTTCTAGACTCTGATTTTTTAAACAAACAAGATCAATTTGATGTTCGAATATTGAGAAATAAATTTCGATATTGATCGGAGGATATACTTTTATCATATTGTTGATAAAGCCTCAAGTCATATGTTCTTTTTTTGTGTACTAAGTTAATGATTGTTAACTTAATGAGCAGAAAAGAGCATCGAAATAGAAAAGAACGTAAATATTTAATGTATGTAACGATGAATTGATCAATGAACGTATGTAATTGTTTCTTTATTCTTGTATCAATTCGTATCTTATCTTATGCATGTCTACATTTATGTGTCACCACACATATAAATAAATTCTTATTTATTTACATTCTCATCTATTTTTAATTATCAATATTTAGATTTTTTTTATAAAAAATTTTTTAAAAAAATCTATAAATGATTATTGTTGTTTCTAAGATATTAAAAATTTCGATTGTATAAAAAAAAAATATTAGTACAGTCGTCCAGAAATGAAATAAGCAAGTAGGTGATATATTATAACGAGACATTATTCATACGCGTTTTATGACATCGGGAAGGAGAAAGTATTGCTGAGATGCCTGTCATGTCTGTAACGAGATATTCCTACGGATGTCTATAAGGGAAGCTATCTGAATTCTTATCCCTATACTTTAAACTTATTTTAGATCGTATTTCACAAAAAGGAGACTGATTTATATTACCATGAGCAAGAACTGTTCCATGACGTTTTACACCATCAATATAAATCTCATAAGTTACATTATCTTCAAGATCTTGTAATGGTCGTAGACGAATATATTTTTGTTCAATAATTTCGATTTTTCTTGTATCTTCCCATTTAATTGTACAATAACGTTCTTGTGTACGTTGTTCATCTAAATAAAAATAAGAAAAATTAATCAGATTAGTTCGATTTTTTTTTCTTACCAAGTTTATCAACTAGTGCGTTCTTCAAATGTTGGAACATATGAAATTATACGACCAAAAAAAGATGAAAGCAGCGTTAAAACTAACTGTGGACAACAACTATACGACTACAAAATAAATGCGAAGAAAGCAAAAGAAAAATGAAGAAAATGAAAAAGGAACCATACAGATATGTACGAACGAAAGGAAAAAAAATGTTTTTTTTTTTCTAGACTGTGCATATTTCGACTCTATTATCTTATGACATCATAAGACAGGACAGGTGTTTGCGTATAAACTTAGTACAAATATGCCAATGCTACCTGATTACTCATTACGATTTATCTGTGTGACCTATCAGTCATATGAGTGAGACAAAAGATTATTGTACTGTGGTAAAGTAAGGATTGCAGTTTGATTGGTTCGTAATTTGTATGTGAAGCGAGCCATATTTCTTTGATTCATATGTAACGATGCTACCAGAACGGGGTTTTTTTGAACTGAGCTTAGTCGGTCCCTTTTTTTGTCGACGTCGTCGAATATAATGTAAAGTTTTCTTCGTTGAAATAGTTTTGTAGAAAAATTAAAGATATAATTATTGACAGTGACAGCTATATGATTCATCGGCTTCATAGTCACTATTTGTATAGTTAAGCTATCGTATTCACAACTAAATTTAACAGGTACTACTCTTGGACATAGCATCATACTGGTTTTTTTTTT